ATTTTATTAATTATTTTTTAATAAAAAAGTGGAAACATTAATTAAAAACACGATGGCGGAAAATAATTACAAAAAAGCGCACACACTTATGTGCCCTACGCTTGCACGAAATGCACTGTTTCTCGTCAGCTCTATTCTGTCATCTTTGAGCACACGCAGCACATATTATCCAAGTCCTCGCCGGAATCCGACCACTGCTGCTCCTTTGACTTTGATTTTCGTCTGAAGTCTCCATATGGCTTGCGGCTTGGTGACGACTTCGTCCCGAACATAGATTTTAAGTTTGATCGCTCATGAAATATTAGAAATCAACAAAAATAAAAAAATTTCATTGGATTCGTGTTCAGCATGCATTACTCTTCAGAATCTTATCGCTGGCTTCTTATATCGCCAGTTTCTCGCTCTGCTAGAGCGGATTTTTGGCTGACAAAGTCGTTAGCGTTAAAGTATTTACATGTTGTTGGTAAATAAGTATAAAGTCGCCAGCGTTTTGGAGAGAATTTTGTTAGTTGACCATCTTGCGCATGCGCAGAATGCCGAATCATTCGCCAGTTGCTCGCTGATTTATTCGCTACCGTCTTAACACGGAGCTTCTTTTGACGCTGCTACTAAAGTCGCCCAGCTATTCGCTTGACGAGAGCGTTAAAGTTGGACATGTTCAACTTTGTCGCTGCAAACACTAGACGCCGCGATTTCAAAATTTTAGACGCTAGCGAATAAAAAACAAGCGTCTATTAGAAAAAGTTTTGACCAGCAAATTTGCTGACAAATTAAGACCCGTGTGAAGTTAGCCCCCCAACTTTAAAAAAAATTAATTTTTTTTAGCTCATTTGATTGCTTATCGTATGCACATGTATGCACATTTTGAATTTTCGTTTGCACATTTCTAGTAAAAAAGTTATTAACAAAACAATTTTGGGAGGGCCAACTTCACATTAGCCCCCCAACTACGAGCAAATTAGATCCAAATAGTCTTAATCGATAGATTAAAATTAATTTTTTTTTAAGTTGGGGAGCTAACTTCACACGGATTGAATTAAGAAACTTGCTCAAAGCGAATAAAAGCAGCGCCGTGTAAAACACCCTTAAAATATTTAAAATTTTCGACGCGCAAAAAATTTTACTTTTGACCTCTGACAACACGTTTGTTTTAATGAAAATCACAACATGGCATATAATCTTACTAAACTCCGTTAGTTACATGGGCACCATAAGTAGTGTTCACAATATTAATGGCGAGTTCACACAACATACAGATTTCGAGATAATTGTAGTGACTCGACTCTGCCCCGGTCTCCCCTATATATATATATATATTGTCACGACTTTTTGCACTCCCGGACCGCTCCGGGACGTGTGCCGGATCAAAAGGGCTTAGGAGAGCGGGATGGTAGGCCTCTCCAGTGATTTCCTCGCACCTCCGATACTCCACGAAATATTCCGAATGTTGGGCGCCAGACGCGTGCATTCGCGTCCACGAAATCGCGAAAACCTAAACGAGACGCAAAACGAAGTGTGGAGGTGCGTGGAATCGGCTAGCTTGACCTAATCACGGGCGGGGTTAATGAAGGGCAGCGCTATATTCGGCGGGGTGACACGTTAATTTCATACTCAGTCAGATAACAAAGAAAATAACATTTATTGAGTACTGGTTGTTGAGAAAATAATAACATTTATCCATCCGGCTTCGATCAAACACAAGATAACTTCGATAAATAAATCAGGAATAGCCGGTGGCGGGGTGTCGGGATTCATCTAACAGAAATAATATTAATGCGGACGCGAGACACCCACGGAGCATTAATCGAGTCTCTAATAAACACGCTGAAGGCGATATTCTCAAACAATTAATAATTCGAGTCGAAAGTGATAATACGCAAGAATACAACTCTTAATATCGCTAATAACCACGGAACGCCATGAAGAACTACGCAAGTAACATCTAAACGCAAGAAACGCGTGAACGCCGGTAATTTCTTGACAAGAGTACAAGTCTAACATAAATAATCAATCGGCGGGAACGACATTCGACCGCGACTAACAATGCCATCGACGTCCTAACACAAAATTCAAGGCTATCGCGAGCAGGGATGCCATAGGACGCAACGCAAGTAATATCGGACGCAACGTTTCTTAACGCGAGAACACAATTATTAACCCGTAATAACGAGATCCGAACACCAATCGATACGCTAACACCGACGGTCGAACACAAGAATTTCCCGACGCGAAGAAACGGTAACGCAATTGACGAAATACCGGCCCATATGCGGCCGTACACCAAGGTCGCGAGGACAACGCAATATACTCGCGATATCGAACTCATTACCGCCTATCGCGATCTCCAGGGATTCGCCATAACGCTTGTACCACGGTTCCGCGGCCACGATACCATCCCGAGGCCCTTCGCTCTCGTTATCGATCGCGAAATTACACTCGATCTTAACATGCGTTATCCCGAGCGAGAGCGTGCACCGGAGGGCGGTGTCGTGACTTTACATATTATCGCGATTTACGGGCAACCTCACCGGTGATACACCTCCTCCTGGGCTCCTCGCCGTCATCTTCCACCAACGATCCTCGATCCGCCAGACAATTATCGAAATACCCGACTCGGGGTGGCTATCGCGTATCTTACAAAACGTATCTCGCCGACGGACGACCAGAGAGTGAAACGCTAAACCCGCTCGATTGCGGAATCGATACGGTACCCCTTCCTGAGGGGCGCGCGAGCCAATCGGGCGCGAGCTTGCAAGCCCGCGGTGTCCCGGCGCAGTGCTGTCGATACGAGATCCTTCGGGGGCGGGCAACGGTCCCTCGGCGGCGTGCGACTCCTCAAATTTTTGTCCGTAGCGGCGGACGGAACTTTGCTCGTGCCGGTGTGCCTCCGGTTTGACCCTGGGGCGGTGGCCAGCCACCCCGTGGGTCGGTGTTTTGTGGAGATCATTTGCTGAAGCCGGGTGTTTACCCAAGCTCTTGGGGCCCCGCTATCGGCGGCCTCGTCCGTCGCTGCCGCATGTGCCGCCCGCCTGCCGCGCTGCTCTCGCCAGCCCGTGATCTCTGCTGCTTCCGCGTTTGCCACCCCTCCTTGGTTATCAATCGTCCTTGATTTCCTTCGCCAAATACTCCCTCGAAGGCTTGCCGTGGTGTGGGTGAGGTGCCGCGCGTATTACATTGCATAAAAACAAAAGAAAGTAATCAGAATGCGGAAACGCGATTAAATACGACCCCTGGAGATCTTGTCGTTGCCTCCCTGGTCCGTCCCTGGGCGCAAAATTCCGCGCCTTGTGACGGCGGCGGGGCGCCGCGACGGTGCGGCGAGCCGCAACGTCAAAATATATATATATATATATATATATATATATATATATATATATATATATAATATTTTAATTTATTATAAACTCTATATTTTGTGCTCTAATTTGTAATAATGTGTTATACAAATATATGTAATATATTTAAAATTTTCATGTATAATATATACTTATAATGCATACTCGTCATATTGATAATTTTGAGATAGTTTCTATAATACTTTTTATAAGTAAAAAGTATCAATTTTTACTTATAAAAAGTATTATAGAAACTATCTCAAAATTATCAATATTGTTATTTTTACCTTTATTATCATGCAGTGTCGTACACAATAGAAATGTACACTATTTGCATTTGCTAAATAGACTACACTAAAATTATATCTTACAAAGAAAGGGTCCGAAGTGTCCGTTTCCGATTTTGATGAGCTTTTATTATATATTGTTCTCTAGACGAAAAAATAAGACACGTATTTAAAATTATTTTTTTGAAAAATATTATTAATGTGATTAATATATTTATAGAAGTGTTTTTATTATAAAACTTTTGTATAAATTATTTTTTGATATCTTGAATACTTTTGGAGAATAGCAAAAAGCCACTTTATGAGGGGTAATTTCACTCCTTAAAATTATTTTTAGGCCGCAATTAAAAATTTCTAAATTTATTTATTTACTCTCCCTACATGTAAAGTTTCATAAAAATTAAAATTTTCAGATTTGCGAGGTTTCTTTGTAAGTAAATCTTATCAATATTAGGTAATTATGCAGTTTAGGGGAAGCACCTCCGATGACCTTGACCTTGACGTATGTTGTCAAGGTCACCCTCCTGAGTGACCTTCAGAAGGTTTTAGCCGTCGCTCGTTTTTTATTAAAAAGTTATAATCAAAAAAAGTTTCGAAAATATAGCAGTTATTTTAAGTACTGAGAGGCATAAACGACTAATATTACGTTTTTCTTTAAAGCAGAGAATACTTTATTTCGCGAGAAAGTCGCTGCTTTACCAAAACACAACATTTAAAGCAGTAAATTGTTGATAAATTGAAGTCTTTTTGTTAAAGCAGAGAATA